CCCCCGTTCCTCTCACTCCTTCGAGAGGGCTGAGTGTAGATAGCTGGATGGGAAGAATGAGAGATGGGGTGGGACAGGAAAAGAGGGGATGGGGTGGAGGAGGGGGGGACACGAAATGAGGGGATGGAGGGTGGGACACGAAATGGAGGAATGGGGTGGAGGGTTGAGCACTGGTGGAGAGGAGAGTGGGGTATTGGTGTAAAGTGGGGAGTGGATGTGGTGGAGAGTGGGGCAACAATAGGAAGTAGAGCGTGGGACACGGATGGGGGTTCGGGGGTTCGGGGGTTTGGTTAGGGAGGAAAATGGGAGGGGGGAGGGAGAAGAGGAGGAACACTGATGGTGATGGGAAAGGAGGGAGTGACAAATAAAAACTCTGGGGATTGTTTGAAGTCCAATCATATGTCTGCTGTAATCAATATGGCAATTTCCGGCACAGAGAGTAGTCGTCTCCCCTGGTCCCAGCCAAGGGCCCAGAGCGGGCCCGCACATCACTCCAAGTCTCCGTCTGTCTGTAGAGCAATTCTCACACCCATGTCCCCGTGGTTGAGATTTTCTGGACGTACAACCAATATACTACCACTCAACTGAGAGCTCTCCTCACTCCCTCTTTCACAAGTCCTCCCACCCCACCCCCCTCCTTCCTCCATCCTCTCAACCACTCTTCCTCCTCCCCTCATTTTACCTTCCCTATCTCTAAACCCCGTTCCCATCGGTCATACGACGTAATTTGCACGTCAAAATATCATTCCAATTTTGATTTAGCTTCATGCCAAACTCAATTAAGAACTGCAATTTCTCCACGCTATTTGCTACTTTAAAGAAAATGTGCGCGGACACACGCGCCCGCATGCACACACATACGTGCACGCGCGCGCGCACACACACACACACACACACACATACACACACACACGCGCGCCCGTGCCCATACACACAGACACAAACACATAAACACACAGACACACATATGTACACTCGCACTTGCACGCACACAAACACACACACGCGCTCACTCGAATCGAATCGATTGAATCACCGACCAAACGGCTAGCTAGATGAACAGATTACACGCCAGACAAACAGACAGGGCGATCAGACCGACAGACAGATAGACACACATGGAGACAGACTGTCGGGCGTGGACAGAAAGAAGATGGGCGGCCAGTAAAAAAGACAGGCAAACAGGAAGTGAGATAGAGCGATAGACAGCCAAATGGACTAAGATGAAGCGAGACAGACAAGTAAATATTGGAGGCTGGGGATGGGGAGCACAAGCTCGGTCCTTTTTCTGTTCTTTCTGTAGATCATCCCGGTTAAATCTTACGAGCAATCGACATTAGAAAACTATAGCATAGTATGGCATGGATGTAATTCCTCTTTCAGTATATGTTAGTAACGCTATTTAAGAGGCAAGAGCTCCCATTCAACAACATCTATATCCCATAAGACCCACCAAAGTGAGTGGAGAACTGTGAAAACTCCCCCCCCCAAAAAAAACAAAAAACAACAACAACAACAACAACAACAACAACAACTCAAATTCAATAAGGAGCCCTGTTAGGGATTTGAACACGAGTCATTGGAGTTCAGCATGGCATCAAGGCTGGTTAACGATGCACGCCTCTCACACGAACATTAGCTTACAGTGCACTGATTTTTAAAAGTACACCGTTTTCTACAAGTTCAATACGAACTCGATAGATAGGAGGTGACACAGTGAGGACGAGAGGAAGGAAATAAGACATAAAAGAGCAGGCAAACTGATCGTAGGTGGCGTACAAACGGAGTTGGGGGCGGGGGCGACCGGGGCGGGG